CCTGTAACCCCAGCACTCAAGAGGCTGAGGCAGGAGGATCGTTGAGTTCAGACCAGCTTGGGCTATAGAGCGAGCTCAAAGTCAGCCTGAGCTGCAAAGACCCTGTCTCCAAAAGACAAAAATAAAACAAATACCTGGATTTATACAATTATACACACAAATGTATATACATGCACTTAGGACTATGGGCAAAAACCTCTCCAACTTCCCCCTCCCCCGTAACAACCGTTCCTTCAGTTAAAGCCAGCTGGGCATGACAGAAGACTGGGCCAGAAGACCCGGACTCTGCAACCCCTTCCCCAACAAAACAAAAGCTGGGGATTTAGCTCAGCGGCGCAGAGATCCTGACTTCGATTCCCGGTACCAAAAACCTGTTAAACAGTTCTGAGAGAAAACCTAAGATGCCTTAACTTCTTTGTTCTTCGGTTTTCTCCTGACTTTAAAGGCAAAACTGCGAAGAGGGGCTTACGCCTTTCCTGGGATTCAGCCGTTAATGTGATACCCGTGGCTGCGACTGTAACGCAGACAACCTGCCTAGAAACGCACGCGCACACGTTTTGGGAGCTCGATCCTCCGTTTTGTCACGGTCACGAACTGCGTCCGGCTCCCTTGGCGACCTCTCTTACAAGTAGCAGGCGACTGGGCGACACGCACCGCCTCGTTCCGGAGGCCCCCGGGGCCAGCCCCGCGTCACACGGCGGCAGGAACCGGCTCGGTTCCTGGGGTCCGGCGACCCAGGCGGTCCCCGCCAGGCTCGCCGCCACCGTGCCCCGCCGCGTGGCGCGCAGCTTTCCGGGTTCTAGCGACCGCGCGGCCTCCCGGGGCCGGCAGCAAAGGCCGCGGCCCCCTGTGCTCCGGTCCACTCCAGGAACCCGGGCCTTTCGCTTCGGGGCTGCCTCTATCTCCTTTTCCCGACCCGGGTCCTTAGTACCGACCCCCGCTGTCCCCACCAGCCCAGATAACCCCAAACCCTAGGTCCGCGCGTTCCCACCTCATGGCTGCGGCCTTCGCAGCAAAAGGAAAGAACTGGGTCTGGCCGGGCTCCTCCCATTACGTGCGCAAGGGAGAGCCCAAACCTCACTCCGTTTCTGTCCGTATTCTTTATGGCCCGTTCACCCTCTTTTCCATCTCAGTCCCACTTATATCCTTCTAAAAGACCTGCAATCATAGCAAACGAATAATGGCAAACAGTGTTAACTTAAAAAACCCAGAAGCATACCCTTACGGCAGGGCAAAGTGGTACAGGCCAACTTCCCCTTGGACATGCGCGCTAAGAGCTTCTGATCACGTGGCTAGTGGGTGGCCGGAAGTTGCGTTGGGTCGACCAGACGAGCGGCCCAGCACCTTCCAGGCTGGCTTTCGGGTTCTGGGAAAGGATGTTTTTGTTAGCAGGAAAAAATATTAGCAGGGGGCTGGTGAGATGGCTCAGTGGTCTAAAGCACCTACTTTCAAGCTTAGCAAAGCCCAGGGACCGCAGTTCAATCCCCCAGCACCACATGCCAGCCAGTCCGCCCCGTGGTGGGCTGAGCTGGCCACACACACCCACACACACACATAAATAAAATTTAAAAAAAAATATATTAGCAAACGAAGCGAGAGATGATAATGGCATGCCAAAGGCAATTTGTTTATTTCCTGTCGTAGTAGAATAGAAGTCCCTGGAGTAAAGAATGGATAGATCCCAAAAGATAATTTAATGTTTTTATGCCACTGTAGGTCTTTCATCTTTGGTACCTCAGTTTTCTCCTCTGTAAAGTGGATCTAAACCTAATATTTCTGTCATTCGGTTGTGAAAGTTACGAGTAGAATTTTCAGAGGAAGGTATTAAGACAGCAAGCTCCTTATGGACAGAACTACCATACTGTACTGCAACAGGCACAGAGCTCACGGTGGTGCACATCAGAGAAACATTGCAAAAGTGGGAGGGAAGGAAAAGTCCAATGGCTCCGGGACACCCTAAACAAACAAAAAAAAAAACCAAGGAGAGTGTTCAAGAAGCCTAGATCTGGGGCCGGGGAAATAGCTCAGTTGAATAAGCGCAAGGGTGTGAGTTCAATCCACGGCTCCGCAAAAAAAGAAAAAAAGAAATAACCTCTGAAATAAAAAAAGAAATCTCTGAATTAATAGCGTCTGAAGTAAAGAATCAAATGCAGAAACATACGGAGGAAATCAGATCAGAAAAAATGACAGAAACAGAGTAACATACAATAATACCTATGTTACAGATTTTCAAAACAGGGATAGCTAATTAACAATGGTTGCTATATTATCTTTTTTCATTTTAGTGAGAGAAAAGATAAAATAACAATGAAACGGTCTCAAGACAGTTTAGTACGACGGTTACAATAATTAATACATTGCATATTGTTGTCTTCCTAGTATATTTTTT